ATCACACGAATAAGTTATTTGATACTTTCAGTTATGACACAATACTTAGATCACTTTGCATTACGATTTTTTCAATGACCTAAATTTTAAATATAGTTTATTGTTGTTATTGATAATATTATATCAAATTTTATCTTTGGAACATAACATCTTATGTAGGATTGGGGTAATGTACTAAGGATGACTCCCAATACGTACATCTACTAACAGCATTTCGTTATAGTAGTCAGAAGTAATTTAGGTTACAATGTTCGCACAAGGAAGTGATTTTATATTGATAATAGAACATATTTTATTCCTCTATCAATAACCTAGATCATGTAGATGGAAAATCCTTTATACCGTTACAATGATATATGTTTAAACTGCATTTATTGTACCATTTCAAGCTAATTCATTGCTAGCTTTATAAACATTGTAGCCAAATAAACATTTTCCGAAAATTAATATATCGTACCTGAAGCAAGAAAGGTGTAATTTAAAAAGCAAACTAATACTACCAGTAAATTTTCTACAATAAAACTAGCAAACAATGAATACTGTATTGAGACTTAAAGGGTTAAATAACGACAACAGTAGTATACCGCTGTTCAATAGTCATAATTCGATTAAGCAAAAACAAATCCGGGTAACGAACTAAAACCGACAGAAACACATCAATTATAAAACGAAAACAACGGAACAACAGAAACACTGAACTACAACAGTAGCAAACGCCAACATACATAGGAACCGACTTTCTGATCACAACTGCCATTTTCCTGACTTGGTACAGGACATTTTAAGAAAACTGGTGGGTTGAACCTGGGTTTATGGCTAACCAAACATTTATAAATTATAAAATAGTACATTACAACATGTAAACCGCAGAATAACAACAGACACCTCCCATTAATTTACGACAGCACACCAGGACACCATAAACGAAATATTAACTGCGCGTCACATGAATAGATTAACGTCACAAAAAGTGACGTATTTTTGTGACGTTTATATAATCACAGGTAAATTTCTAAAAATAAAATTGATTTGTTTTGTTAATAGACACGTACAAGAATATTAAATTGGGATTGAGTTTGATATCAAAATATGGGAAATTTGAGAACTAGATACAACATTCTTTAGTTTCATAAGAAACTTCAAACATCCATCACATATGTTACAGTTTTAATCTTATTTCTTTATTTTTAAACTATCACCCTTTATATCTTGATCAGTTGACTAAAACAAAGTACATACAGTACATTATTAAAAAAAACGGTAGACAAACGTTACAGCCGTTTTGAACTACCGATTGTTTTTTTCTAATCGGAACTAAGTTTGTCGACCACTTGTTTATGTGATTGACCTTGCATCAAAAACGAAATAAAAACTCGAAAGAAATTTTGCATGTTTTTGAAGATATGTTATATATAAAAATAAGATGAAGTAGTATAATTGCCAATAACACAACTCTCCACTAGAGACCAAATGACATAGAAGTTAACTATAAGTTACCGTACGGCCTTCAACAATGAGCAAAACCCATATAAAAGGCCCCAAAATGACAATTTGTTCGATTTTATGTTTCATTTCTCTAAAATATTGAACCACCAATGGGTTATATCCAGCTGATTTTCATCTTACTGGTGATCATTGTATTTTTTTAATTTTGGTATCAAGTTTTCGAAAGATAGGATTCAGTGTAAATGTAAATTGGACGCGTTAAGGTTCTTGAATAGCTAAAGTATAAAGGCAAGGATTCGAAGCGTCATGCCACGTACAAAAAAGACGACTACAGACGACGAATCTAACACAAATAAATTAGTTACTACAGTTTATACACTAGGTATAAAAAAATGATTATAATAAGGGATAACAAACAAAACGTAATTTGAAACTTCTCAAAGTTCTTCTCAAGCTATATTTGACATACAATATTATCACAACCACTTTGCAGTTGAAGATGTATTAACAATTATTTTGAAAATCATTCTCTTTCAAAGTCTTCGACGTATTTGCATTCATATGAAGACAACTTGACTCGCATGTTTTCATAAACACAAATATCTCTTTTTAAAAAAATCAAGACAACACGTTATAAATGTCATGCGTCTGAAACGCTTTTTTGGATTTGCCTTCATCAGGAACGCTTAAAGCCGAATATTCGAAAGTCGAGGATGTTTAGGAAACGAAATGGTTGAAGAACTATATCAACAAAAACGACCTAAAAAATAGCCAAATCCATCTAAGGTCACCTTTACCTGAAGGAGTTGAAAAATTAGTTTGTTATAATTTCAAAATAAATTCTAAATCATCAGCGTTTAAATCATAATTAAACATATAAATAATCCGCTAATAGCACTGTGAGTGTTTTGTTTTTGACGCCGATAAAAATAGTTATTTAAAATAGAATTACACAAAAATATAAACACACAAAAAAACTAAGAATGTGTATTTTTATGCAGCACTTTTATTACTTTCATTACTGTTCTTTGTTAAAATATTACCAGTTTTACTACGCCAAATATTTAAAAATAACAAGTTCATTATATTGTTCATCTTCGCTAGCCAAGGGTTACGATCCACTTCCCTCCTCTCCACCCTTGGCAGATTAAGCCAACATTTGTGATAACAATGTTGCGCCATCTATCGGTAGACTAAAGTCACGCCCATTCCGAATACATTATTCTTGACCAATGGTAGCACTTGAACTCTTCAATTTGGAGGTAAAAACACGGTAGCGTCTAGATTCTACACTATTGGTAAAGCAGGAAACGAAAATAAACGTTGATATTCATGCATTTGTGCAAGAAACATACACAGGAACTTCTATTAGTTGATTAAAAACATTCAAATTGTCATTAAATATAGTCGTATGTTTAGGGATTTAAAGACGTGTTGCACAATAAGCACGTGCCAATTGTTTACATACACTTTCTACATTTACACGTGATCATGTTATAGGCGCTTTTTGATGGGATGCAGCGAGTTTCGACTGCAACCAATGAAAATCATCACCTTGTGTCTCCGAAATTCTATCTCAATCCGCCAAGGGTGGAGAGGAGGGAAGTGGATCGTAACCCTTGGCTAGCGAAGATGTATATTGTTTCATAGTATTAGTTACAACTGACACTAAATTGTAAGAACGTCCTAATGTTTGAATAAATCTTCATTTTCCAATTTAAGGACCGTTGGATAGAATCCACTCATGCAATAATTGAGGTGGAAATGATAATGTGGTAGATTGCCAACATATCGAGCTGATTCATGCATCCGAAATTGTGTATGCAGCGTATGTGCCATCTGAAATGAATACTTATTGTCACATTCACCTGATGGCCATACATAGAAACTCGTATATTTACATTTATCTGTCATACATATCAAAGTATACATGTTGAAAATCGCCATCATGTAATGGAGTGACCAAAAACTAAAAATTCTATGAAATCGTTCACGTGACCTAGATGCTGGTTTTTTGTGTTATATGTACAAGTACATTACGATTTTGTGCCCAATCTTCGTGCCAGTATGCGATTTTTTTCAATTTATGTATAGTTCAAAATTCGCATTATCTATAACGTAAAAAATATACGAGAGGGAAAGAATCATAATTAAAAATATAAACAAATTATTATTATTAATCTTTGAAATCATGATGTAATTAATGTCATTATTTTATACAGAAATGTATAACAGTGTTATATCTAATAAAGGAGATATGGTATCATTGCCAATGAGCAAGCTATTTACAAATTACCAAATGTAGAGGAGTTTTAGGTCAACGTACTACACCGAATATATCAAACTATAAAAGGCATGACAAAAGATTTAACCAGATAAATGAGAAAAACAACAGCCTGATTTATGCCATAAACGATGAACAAAAACGTAGATGAGAGACAGCAATCAACGACAACCACTGCATGACAGGTTCTTGACATCAAACATGTAAATAACGAATTTTGTGGAGTTAGAATTTGTTTGTTGGCGCTAACACTCCCTTATCGTCGACTAGTGGCGTACCAGTAGAATATATGGACATACTGTTGTTTTCTAGTGCCAGTGTCAAAAATAGGGAAATTAAGTACAAATGTATGGAACATAAAAAAAAAACAAAGACACCCGTTATGTATAGATATTCCCATTTGCAACAACGAATGTTAATACTAGATTAGACAATTATTGCAGATAATATTATGTTTATCATAAGCAGCGCCCTTGGGTGCATTTCCTCAGTATACATATCTTTTTCCTCATAGTTTAGAATTTAAATAGATATATTTAACAGATAAATTGATCATTCTAATTTCAATGAAATATATACTCAAATTGTTTCCCTCTTTTTCATTTTGTTTTTCAAAGAGTATGTTGCGACATAATTCATTTAAGTAAATTTCAATGAAGCTTATAGAAACCCAATTTTGAGGTTGAGCTAAAACTGTGCTTTTATCGTGGTCGTTTCAGACGATCTTGCAACCTTTAGTAAAAGAGTTATATGTGTAAGGCTACAATTTTATAAATTATACTGAGTACAATTACTTTACAATAACTTCACCATCTACCCTAAAAGGGTCATTTTTACCGACAATGATGCCAAAATAATCAAGAAAAAGGATGTTCCTTCCATATATACGTTTCATATAGATATGATCCCTTTGTTTATAGTATTTTGTACATTTAATACCCGGTATCATTCGCTAAAATACACATGATGGATCTAATGAAAATACCACACAGATGAGATTCAATGGTATTGACATTTATTTATCCTACAATTTAAGGTCAATTCGTAATTTTCCGACGAAGTGCACGTAACAGGATAATGTTGGTTTTGTCTTTTCGGTTATGCGGAGCTTGATGGTAATCTGGTTCGTTCTTCACATCCACATTACTACATAATCAAAGTGAACATTAAGTCTTCATTTTATTATATTGTTTTACTGATTTTGGATTCCTAAATCATGCATGTTATAAAAAGATAGAATGTCCGTCTCGATAAAGTATTAACACATACCAAGAGTGTACACTTGATTTTATTGTTTTGTTATTCGTCATTCTGGTCACTGTTTGTGTGCTTTTTTAAATAAATAAATAAAAAGAATGTGGTACAAACAAAACATGAAAAGAAAATATATAAATACTAAACAAATTATATGTTGAATGATTTTAATATAAAAAAAATGCTTTTGAATAATACGAAATTAAAACGAAACAACAATAGTCTTTCATATCGGTCTATATACTTGGCTTGATCTATATTATATATATATATATATTCCCATAGCATATCTATATAGTACATAGTGGTGTAATGTGAGCAAAATAAATAGACACAATAGGTAACAAAAATTGGTGATCCCTGATATGTGTCAGAGTTCATTACAACACACCTGTTATCTCTCCGCGAATATTAATCTACCAAATACACCTTTTAATCACTTTTACATCCAATGAGTAACACGATGGATGCAATAGGTGGAGCAGAAACTGCTAACACTAATTTCCGAACACCAGGTTTCACCCCCGATTTCAGGGATTGGTGTTACTATTTTGTGTGTGCGATCTTTTATTATTGTTGTTGATATTTTCGTTGCTTTTCGTTTTGGTAAGGGTGCTATCTGCTTTTTTTTTAACTTATTTTTTTTTATTACCCCTATGTTTGATTCTCTGTTTACAGTACTTTTGAATAACTTTGTTTACTAATAAACTAGTTGTATGTTCAAAAACCAGTAGTACAGGCCTGGGGGTGTCGTTGGTTTATGTCTACCATAATTGTTTTTAGTAAATTGTTTTGTTATAAATTATCCTGTTAGTTTTTCATTTGAATTGTTTCACATTTGTCATGACGGGCCATTTTATAGCCTACCTACTATACGGTATGAGTTTTTCGCATCGTTGAAGGCCGCGCGGTTGGCTATAATTGCTTACAACTACTTCATTTTGACTCTGGTCGATATTTGTCTCATTGACAATCATACCACATCTCCTTATCTTTATATAAATAATCACCAGTATACCATCGTGGACGTTTTAGAACGTTTTATGTGTGATAGAGGTGAGATATACAATTCCTTCAAAAGTATTCCCTCAGCATCACATGTGTCAATGTTTACATCTACCAATAAGAATAATAAATACGTCAATACGTTAATTGCAACATAGCATCCCTTATGCTTAATGATAATGAAACTATAAAATGACTGAACATTCTTAATTTTTATCAGCCACAAAAGTGAACAAACGAACATTGAATTCAGATTAGTTATGCTTTGATTCGGTTCTATGCCAATCACCTAGTTGCATCAATATTACTTGTGATGGATGAATAACCATTTCATAATCCTGAAAAAAGAAGTCAGAAACAAAAGTTGCAAAAATTGTATACATTGTTTGTTTATATTATTCCTTCATTTGCATAGAATGTAATGTGGAATAGCGTAAGCAATCTAATGATCTCACAGGTTTACGGCAGGTTTAAGTTATTTTAAAATGAGGTGGCTGGTATACCTTGTGTATGAGGGAGTTTCGGCAGGGGGATCTGAACAAGTTTTGATTATATTTCAAATCATCAATCTCTTTATTAATAAAACGGGTAATGCATATAAATTAGGAGATTGATAAGTAAACTGCAAATACGTTTTAAAGAATGAGATTCTTGTGAAGACGTTTTTAATTTATCAGCCTGCAAGATATTAGTATTTGTATTCGAAACTGCGTCTGACATATTTGTCATAGGACTTTAAAATCATTGTATATAAGGCAAAGCTGGAAAAAAACTGGAAAAATATCCTCATTTAGAGATCTAACTAATATTCATTCGGTATGAACCAAGAGTTTCTAGAAACGATTTTTGCTACAAAATGTCTACTACAATGATTTAAATGTTAGTAAATATTTTTTGGGATATCGATTTAGATCAATGTCATGAAGTGTGTTCAATTGTCATGTTCGGTAAAATTGCTACACTTTTATCTCATCATAATAACACCCTATTACTTTTTAAATAAAACTTACAGAATTTGAAGGGGTTGAAGAGTTTTACATTGATCACACCTCCCACATTTGTGTTATGTGTAACCGTTAGTTACTTGTCGGATGCCTAGATATAGATTTGAACTGTGCTTACATACTAATTTCGTAACACATGAGAATAGAATGACATAACTCCATAATTGTCCTTTGATATGTCTTCATCAACAATATGACTATAAAGTAAGATAATTCATGATAATTTGTACACACTTAATTCAGATTATTTGATTATTAAGCACTGCATTTAATATTGGTATTTAGACATGACTTTTTAAGATACATGCATAAAAAGAAATGTTGAATATACCGAAATGTCACAGCATCCCAAACACTCAATCAACCAAGAAACGTCTAGACAGCAAACAACAATCTTCAAAAAATAAACAATGTTTAAGCAATTTCCAAGCTATTAAAATCAGTATTTACAATTTGCGAAAATATAACATCAAAGATTGCTAAACCAAATGTTTACAAAAATATGACAAATGACAAAAAAACAAGCTCCAGAGATGTTCCGATAGGCATTAGAATATGAAGGTGGCTTAAACAAGTGTTGTTGTTTGACACATTTGTATACTGATCAATGAAAATAATTACCGGTGTTATGGTATTGGAGATTTCCTCTATATTCAAAGTCTTGCTTGACTCTATCTTCTCCTGTTGCATAGCTCGAGTATCATACATACAATTACAATTGTTACTACAGGAATACAGCCAACTCCCACAATTGTTAAGGCATACGTTATACTGAAATAAAAATACATCAGATCAGAATGATATCCGTTAAAATTTATGATTAAAATTTTAATCCATTTATCTATTATTCAAATACTGAAACTACAGTACAGATAGTCTAATTCGACATTCTAATTTCATTCTCACGTTAACGCATTGGTTTTTCTTTCGAGATCATGCTATTCCCTACTGTTTTACTCCAGTGTTCCAATACCATAACACCGGTACTTATTTTCATTGATCCGTATACAAATGTGTCAAACAACAACACTTGTATAATCCAGCTTCATATTCTAATGCCTATCAGACAACGGTATTACTTATTTTCATTGATGCAATATGAAGAGTTTAATTTTCCTCTTGCGGCGGAGTTTTCAAACGGTTCATAGTTCTTCGTTGTAATAACTAGTCTGAGTTATACATGTTATACATCCTTCAATCAAAACTGTCTAAATGATGATTGATATTCAACCGACGAGATTTGACTTCGATTACACGGCATAAACATATCTATAGCTATGTCAGACCTCGCAATTTTTGTTCTTGTTTGATTGTTGATTTTAATGTATGCATAATAAATGTAAACCACACATCCCTCACCCTTAATGTTTTTCGATACTTCTGTTTTATATTTTATTTTACAGATTTCCGCTTGTCTGTAACTTCTACATATAACTTCTGTCACGGCATCTGGAATTACAACTCTTCGCTAGTGTCTATAAACACAATAAACCGCAGTAAGTCTTCAATCTGGCGAGTGATAAAGGATTGACAGTATAGTGTACCGATAAATGACATTATGACCGTCTGTTAGCAGGGGTCATGATTGGGTCGGACTTAATATGCTGCACCAGTACCAATTAACTTAATTTGTCACTCTATTATCATCTAATTCAGATAATTAATCCATTTAATCTAATTTAGATAATTAATCCATTTAATCTTTATTTCACCCATCAAACGTAATTTATCGTGTTGATTTTAATTTCAATTCACATATCCTTATTTATTTTGGAATTTGCATCTGATTTACGGTTACCCAAAGACTCTTACTTATGGGTTGGTAACCGACAAAAGCCATTATTTTACTTCGCCAATAACTAGTTGATGTTTACTTTGATAATGTCTTCTCTCTTATAATTCATAACTTTGTTAAAAAAATTACAAGAAAATCTTGAGGTTATTTAACCACGAAAACTTTTTTTAGAAACCTAATACAAGATTTCACTGCAATAAAACTTCTTTTTACTACAAAAAAAAACAAAGCAAATTAAGTAAGGCATCACTTAGTAGCGCAACAAAACTATGCAAATCATTGGAAGCTACAAAAAGGCGAACAAGTGATGAGATCTTTAAAGTTACTAGTAAATGCTAGTTTTCAAACATGTAACAAATCTTACAAAAATCATTATTCTCGTTCATTCGTATTGCAAATATACTGAAATTCAATTGTAAAACGTCCAAATATGAATTCCTAATATGCGATGTAACAGCAATGTATACCAAAGTATACAAATATAAAGATATGAATATGATTATATAACAAAAGTATGAATCACTTAGTATTAAATGGTGAGCACGAGAAAAAACACAACTTCAGAAACAACACTAAAGGGAGATGAGGATCCAAAGTACTTTTTTAATTGGTGGTACGCATAAGGAATGCATTTTTAAACCAACATGGCCAAATCGAACTCTTAGATATTTCGAAATTTTTAGCATTTTCGTTCATTATTTCTACTCAGAATATGACTGACAACATGTTTGTCAACTGCTTTATTTAATAAGCTTCATATATTGTATGTTTTTGTACATGGAACAGATCATTTTCAAACACTGTTGTCACTCAGTGCCTGTTTTTGAAAATAGTTATAACTTAAAGAGAAAATACTTACGCTTTCTCGTCTGCAGAAGTCGTATGCTCCCTACCACCAGGGTATGTATTATACCAATATTTGTTATCACCTTCAACAACTGAAAAATTTCAGACACGAGGCTTTTAGTTGGTTCAAAATATAACAAAAACACATTCATATAGTCCTAAGGGGAGGGCGGAAATAAATATTATGGCGCCAATTTCGGTGGAAATAAACAATCTTGCTTGATCTATTTAAGCTTAAACAAACATAATTTTAAATCGTTATATTCACGCAAAGAAAAACATTATATTGAAAGTTCTAGTGAATATGAACTGACCGATGTGCTTGAAGGCTTAGATGTCGAAAATAGGTATATTATGGATATTGTATCATACTATGTGAAAACACTAAAAATGTGTGACTGGATGGAGCTGTAGGATTTAAATGTATGTATCTAAAATTAAGACCACAGAAGGAATTGACCAAATGGCCGTGTTAACACGTGTTTTCAACTTCTTGTGATGAATCTTACCATTAAAAAAAATAGCGTGAAAACCTACAAATGCAATTATCACTATAAATACTGTAAATTCAGAATTTAATGCGTACATTCATTATTGCAAATCACTGATTATAGGTAAAAATAAGAAATATAATTAATGCGATAGCAAACATTTTATGAGGGAACATCACTTCTTAAATTATGCATGTGAGTTTTTTTATATTGCAAACCTAACACTGCCGTATTTCTCGTATCTATAAAAATATCACAATAATTTCTGAATTCATAGTACTGACATTAAGGCATTATGTAGATGCTTGTATATTTCAAATAATAAACTTTAACAGATAATATCTTAAAAATCTACGATTGTGGTTTCGAAACAATTTTAATGAGTTTGATTACCGTTGTTAATAAACCATTGATTCTTTATCATAAAAAGCGCAACTTTCTATTGTACTCGAATTATCGGTTTTTCCTTCAATGTTTCAAAAAAAACGAAAAACAATTACGACAAAGAGAAACCTACGATAATCATTAAATTACCGCCTCCTTGTTTTAGAAAGGCATATAACATATTATAGCGGTGTAAAGTATAACATTTAACAAGCTGTAAAAGTTAGTTAGAAAAGAGGCAAGACTCATTGGTCGGTACAGAACACAAAAATACTTTTAACAAAATGACATTAGAAACAAAGAGCCGACCACAGAGTACTCGCAGTAATTGGATACTAGTTAAACATAACTAACATAATAATCATACGTTCACCGATTAATATGGTTATATATTATCTACATGTATAAGTAAAGGCAATTGTAGTATACCGCTGTTCAAAAGTCATAAATCGATAAAGAAAAAACAATTCCGGATTACAAATTAAAACCGAGGGAAACACATCAACTATAAGAGGAAAACAACGGAACAACAGAAACACTGAAGTGCAACAAAAACAAACGCCAACACGAACTATTTGATAACAACTGCCATATTCCTGACTTGGTACAGGAGATTTTAAGAAAAAAAAGGTAGGTTGAACCTGGTTTAATGGCTAGCCAAACCTCCCGCTTATATGGCAATGTTACAAAATATCGCTAAAATGACAACAAATCATATAAGCTACTTCAAAATCATATTACAACACATAAATGTCCTTAGTATGATACAATATCCAAAATATACCTATTTTCGACATCTAAGCCTGCAAGAACATCGGTCAGTTCACTGTCACGAGAACGTCCAATATAATTTGTTTCTTTGCGTAAATATCACAATTTAAAGTTCTGTCTGTTCAAGCTAAACAGAGCAGAACATATTTGTACAAAGTACATTATCCGTTAAAAGATTTTACTATTTTTAAACTATTTCAAGAATAGCTTGTCTGGATTATTGTACATGTAAGTGTGGTCTTCTCGTAGTTTCATGTTTTCATGCATCAAATATTTACACTGGAATAGGGTCGTTTCTTTGACATGTTCAGTGAGGTATCACTCACACAATCATGCTCTTCGTGCTTGTCAGCACATATGGTCTCAACCTCCTGTGAGGTATACAACGACTAGAAATTAATTGAGGTCGGTACGCAAGGAAATTATTAGCTTAGTAACATCTTTAACTAATTTTACCCAAAATTACATAAGCCTACTTTTCTCTCTGAAAGCTGCATGATGAGAGATTTGATTTTGATTTTTGGTGTTTTAACGCCACTTTTAAGCACCGTTTTTGGGCTATTTCGTGGCGGCCAGTTTTTTATTGGTGGAGGAAGCCGGAGTGCCCGGTGAAAACCACCGACTTTCGATAGGAAAACTGACAATCCTAGTTAATTAAGATTGGAGTCGAGTGCACCCGCAAGAGCGGGGTTCGATCTCACAACCTCAGTGTTGACTGGCTTGTGATTACAGTAGTAACTACTTAGACCACTCGGCCACCGAGGCCCCGCATTATGAGAGACATGATAACATTATCTGATAACATTACATGGTAGTTTTGTGCTATCTAATTAATGTTATTATAACTTTTTTTATCAGGACGTTTTCTTTTGACTTTATAAGCAATAGAGTCTTTATGGAGAACGGGCCAAAGCTATCAGTTATAGCAAGGGAGATAATTTTTCGCCATTATATTTCTCACTATATAGTTAATTTTATATCAATATATTATTTTTGTCTTTTGAAGTGTTTCACAATTTTATTTTTTTTTCAAATGATCTTTTGGTCGTACTGTTAGCTTTAATTGTGTACATTCCTGTCCTTTAGTCTTAGGTGAATAGCTGTCTCATGCACAATCATAAACATCTCTTCAGTTTTGTAGTTTGAAAATGATTTATAAATGTTTCTTTTTCTTTAGGATATAATCAGGGTTTATAACTTGAATGTGTATGAACTATTGTCAGGAGGAAAAGCGAAAGGTCTTAATTGAGCAATTAGTCAACCCATACTTCATTAACAAAGCAATGATCAAATTCAGTTAATCACAGGGTGCACAGGCGTTACACCATAAATAAACTAAAAATAACAATGACCTACATTTAGAGAAAGTGCTTCTTTTTTTCTGTGGGATTTGCTTGGTAAGAAATTTATAAAATCTTTTTAAAAAAGTGGGTCTATATGCATTTGTACAATGTTTAAGCATGACACAGTTATTTCTTGATGAACTTTTTTCTTCACTTAAACCACACGACTGTCTTTCGGGTCTTATAGATCCATTTCGAACAAAGGCAGATTGTGTGTATTCATTCTGTTGTTTAAATAGAATAGAGAGAATATTGTTCATATTGATAACAATACTTACATGATTTAAGACAAACAATAAATACTATAAAAATTCCCTGTGCTTTTGAAAAAATCATATCTTACTGTGGTGTGTTTTCGCATGAATAGTTGAAATCTTATTGCCATATAATTCAATACATAGGTATTACGTAAATCAGGTCGATGCCAAAAAGTTAAATATACTTGACAAATAATCAGTTTTAAATATAAAGATTGGGATTTTTATAAATATATTTAGTCATGCAGAGACTTCACAGGATAAGATATTTTGGTGGTTCGTATAGCATTTTTATTTCGTGTTTGAAATTGACCTTTTGTATTGTCATGAACAATTTTTTGTTTCAAGTAAAGTGATAACCTTTACATAGAATGTCAAAATATATGTATATTGTAATGTTGCTGTTTTTAATGCGAATTTCTAAATTTCTTTTTTTCATTCAGTAGCTGTTTAAGCTGGATAATTTTTTGAAAGCTGTAGTTCCCTTTGTTAATTTAAAATGTTTACTATTATAAAATTCACTGATGTCCTTTATTGATAGACGCCAAAAATAGATTCGATGCAGGTATCACTTATCTATGATTTTTCAATTTATTGTTTAATAAATTCACAGCTTTAAGATTAAAAAAAAAAAATATCTGTTTTATTCGCTCTTTTTTTTTTTACTCTGTTGGAAAATCCTTATTACATCACAGGGATATATTTAAACCTGCGATAGCTTTAAAGTTTAATTTTCTTAAAATTGATATTACTGGGTATTCCGTATTCTCCACACTAAAAATAGAATATATACGATTAGCGTGAACAATGCAGTGTGATCAATGTGTGTATATTTAATATACATGTATTAAACAAAGCATACCCACGTATCCAGAGTAACCTTCCAGTTTAGCTTACGTTTGAACTTATATACTCACATGACTCACGAATAAATGGAAAACATAAAAACACCATAAGCACTTCATTTTCATTTGATTCAATAGAAGATAATGACTTCGATTTCAACAATTATAGGTTTGAGGAATGGAAATTGACTTTTAACTCTTTAATTTTTGTGTTTGTTTTTTTGTTTATTTGTTTAAGGTCACTGTCATTTAGCTTTGCTATCTCATGGTGTTTAGTTTTTATTGGTTGAGGAAGTAGGAGTTATACATGTCATAAGGAGTAGGAAGGGAAAAGATTCACAAATTGCAAGCTAATAACCACAGATTAGTATAAATTAATATAAAAGGACACAAACACGAAGGAACAGTACAATCGTGTTTCCATTACATGTATTTGATATGTAAGATGTTTGCATTTTTAAAAGTTTATTTTTGTGTATTTTTAACTATCTAAATGTATATTTATTTATAATAATTCTGTAACATTGTATACAATGTTAGATTTAAAACTTAGTTTTATATCGAACAAAATCGTTTTCCTAAATCAAATACATTTTGAAATTGGAGATCTTCCAATATAAATGCGTTGTGTTTTTTGCTTTGTATGTACTGATTTTGTGTTTCGGTGGATTCCCAATATCCTTTGTTTTTTTCTATTAAATGTCAGGCCGTGTTATTTGATATCACAAGTCAAAGGTTAAATCATACAATTTGTGTTAATTACGCGATACATTATTATGGTCGATAAGTTATACTTGAAGTTAAAGTCCTTAGTATGTTTAAACTCCTGAAAATTTTGTTCACTTGACTTTCTTATGATAACCTATTCTGGTAAAGCTTTTAAATTTTTTAAATAGAATAAACTCGGCAATATTTCTTCATTATTATTCCTCACGTGTTTATTTTTCAATCTGAAAAAAAAAAAAAACTTTTTTATTTAGCAAAAAAGGGCTTAACATTGGACAAAATAGTTCTTATTGCACCAAATCACTAGCTTTAGATATAGAAAAGACTTCAATGTGGAAACAGTTTTTATTTAAGTATTATATATTATAGCACATAAAATGATTCATAATTCATATTTTCAAACAGCAGACGTCATATTACTTATTTTGTAGTACAAATTTGCATAAAGATTCTTATAATTTTCCAAATTGACAATATTGCTACCTAAATATGTTTCACTATTTGTTACAGGTACGTACATATTTGATGAATATAAATGGACCCACTTGGTTAATTTCCAAAACATTTTATAATATCCATAAGGGCATGATCGTATCACCGGAATAAGAATAATTTATTTGGCATAGTTTATTTAAATCTTTGTTGTATCATACAATATAATTGACATGATTGATAGACAACACTATATATATAGAATAAAGGACTTTTTGTTTTTGAAACTGACTTTATAACGGTAAAATATCAGGTTAGCCCAAAGGGCGAGCCTGATATTTTACAGTGATAAAGTCAGTATCAAAAACAAAAAGTCCTTTATTCTTTTTATCGGTAATTATGAAAATATAAAAATCACTGAATAATAGAGAAAATAACATACGAACTACTTTATCGCGTCGAATCACGGCGAATCACGCATGACGTCACAGTCTGCATAACGTCATTTGAAATTTTGTCACAGTGCAGTAAACATGGAGTTCTCTTGCACAAAGTATTGCCAATGAATTATTGCTTTTGCGTTTTATTATTTTTGCTTAGAACAAGCTTTACACAATGCAGAATATAATGGTAACATACCGGTAAGTCAAATTTCTTTATTTTTCATATAGCATGGTATGATTATACTCGTATCAACACATGGAACGTAAGCGGCCCGGTCAAAGGTCATAGGGGAAAAACCGCTTACATCATTGAGCACGTAATAATAAACATTGATCGCCAGCATCACTACTTGAGTTGAAAATGTCTTAAATCATGCAAATTATACCATTTTAAATAGTTATATAATCCATAAGGTTAGTAAAAATACAAAAACTTAGCCAGTGTATATCCTCGAAGAGGTGCAAAACCATACTTTGTCGTACACAAGCCGTGACAAGGTCCTTTTAGCTGTTTAGGTCACGGTCTTCTGCATTACCTAACTGAAATATTTTAACTTTTGTGACTTATTTCCGTGTTTATAACACTAGACTCCGGAATTGTTTGCTTATGCATTATTCCATTTTATCGCATGCATGTATATAGGGATCCCTATAATTGTTTAGAGGATCTACCAGCCAGGTTTCTTACTTGTAAAATGTACTGTTCCAAACAGTCAATATCTGTCAAAATTAAACTTACAAATAACATAACTGCCTGATTTTTACCACCTTACAAATATACTTGATATTTCTTTTTTTTTTTTAAATAAAACAACTTTCTGCTGTAACTGCAACAGGCACATGTGGGGGTACACCCCTTTTATTAAATTTCTGTGTTTTTTTATGAATTATTATTGCTTTAAATGTTTAATTTTTACTATGTTTATACCACGCTTATTTGTGGCTACTGTGCATGCCTCGTCTTGTTTCAAGTCAATTTACCAACTCTGATACAACCCCTTATTTTACTTTCCATACTAAACATTGTTAAATTAAAAATATTGAATATTTTAAGTAATAATAAAAATTTAACTCCCAAAAAATCAAGCAGGGTCTACCTCACAGGCACCTGAATACTACAAGAGACAGTACACAAGCATATAAAACCTTGATCATGTGAACCTGATATTTTTGCATGGTTATTGGTTGTTCTTTAACAAGTTTAAAGTTTACATGATCAAAGTTTTTATTGTAACAGTGTAATTGTGGGTCAACAGCAAGGTTAGTAATAAGATCAGATATTTTATTCCAAAACAAAATGCCCATGAAGAGCAAAATAATTTATAACAAAGATTTTAATAATTGACACAATAATTTTAATAATCATATATAAATATGAACATGATGAATATAATCAACTAAATTATAAGATCAAACCACACTCAAACCATGTTCAACGCCATAAGCATGTAAATAAAAAAGCAGTAACCCAACAACATGCAGAGTTGCATTTTTTCATCTTTGGTCTACACAGTGTATTTTGATTCATATTCTGGTATTTCAATTGCAGATTTCTAGTGAAATAATGGGTATAGTAATTTTTGTTGGTTATCTGTTTACTATGTTTGGTTAAATTATTGAAAATGTTTAAAGTTTCAAGGAGAAGTTGTTCAGTTATATCCTGCTCTAACAGTTGGTACAAAATAGAAAAATGGATGCAAGAACAATGTGAAATACATACATGTAACAAGGGAACTGGATCACGTGACCGTTCACCTCCATTTCAACTTATATCTTTTCCCACTGAGAGAAAAGATCCTGCTGGTCGCAAAAAATGGACAACAATTGTAAATCGGAAACATGGAAACAATAATTGGCAACCTAATTCTGAATCTCGAATTTGCTCCAAACATTTTGTAGATTGTGAACCAACTCTTAGTAACCCGTTACCAACACTTGACTTGGGTTACACACCAATACAAGTAACAAAATTTAGGCCCCCTCCACGTGAAAGACATGACAGTCCCCCTCCTAAGAAAACAAAGTGAAAACTTGAGAATGACCTTTCAGTTGAGGATTTGAACAAACACATAACTTCTGATCATGACTACATGTATAAACAAGACACAGACTGTAACCGTGAAGTAATTTTATTAAGGGACCAGATACAGAAACTGCAAAAAGAAGTAAATATGTATATTTCTGCTTACATAAGATCTGTCAATACTAAACGCAAAAGAACTTTGACATAAATGTTATATTACAAAGCAACTAAAAATGCAAATTCTATACAGGCATACCAAAGGTTGAAACTTTTAATGACTGTTTCGTTGCATTTGAACAAAAAGTGAGGCAAATGAGACATTGGAAAGGTCCAAAAAGGACATGCAATCCACTTAAAAACAAGAAATATACAAGATCAAATTCGAACAGAAAATTATCACTTAAATTTGAATTTGCATTGACCCTTATGAAATTAAGGTTAGGCCTGTTGTTTGAAGATCTTGCTGACCGATTTGGAATTTCTACCACCCATGCTTCAAACATATTTACAACATGGATAAAAGTTGTGTCCAGTACAATAGGACCTTTGGTGTTTAACCAATCGAAAGAGGCAGTAAAAACAAATTTACCACCTTCTTTCAAAGGAACAAAATACATTGATGTCCGTCACATCATTGACTGTACCGTAGTATTTTTAGAGAGACCAAATGATTTAGAGGTTGCAGCTCAGACATGGAGTGATTATAAACATCATAACACAGCAAAATTCTTAGTGAGCATAAATTCTTCTGGCTTAATTAATTATGTTTCAGAGGGTTTTCGTGGTAGATGCAGTGATAAATATATTACTAACAATTCTGGTTTTTTAGACATTATTGAACTATATGACTGTGTAATGGCTGATCGTGGTTTCACCATATGGGAAGAATTAGCTTTGGTAAGAGAACAACTGTTTATTCGACCAGGTCGGCAAGGTGTCACACAAATATCAACAACGGAAGTGCAACAAACAAAAGAAATTGCTAATCGTAGAATTCACATTGAGCTAGCTATAAGAAGAATGAAATACTTTAGAATACTGAAGTATGAAGTGCAGCTTACTCTCACATGCCAAGAAATTGCCTCCGTTGAAATTCTGCAAATATCCCATAGAGCAAATTACATGGATGATTAATATTGACCATTTGGTATATGGCTGTGTTCTAAGCGACACGTACATGAAGGTCATAAATTAATTTGTTGAATGAAATCAAATCTTTAACTACTAATGGGTGCCGTAGGAGGTCTACCGGAATTTTTAGCTTAGATTTCTTGGCATGGGTAACACAATAATATGGACACCTTACAGAAAGAAAGAAAGAAAAAAAGAAGGAAAGAAAGAAAGAAAGAAAGAAAGAAAGAAACACACACACACATATCAATCAATCATGTTTCAAAGGGGGAAAGACCGTTTACAATTGCTTTTTTAAAGCAATTGATTTATATTATAAATCAGCGTTTTTAACCATTCTTATGTACCGTTTATATCACAAAATGTCTCCCTGGGACCCCCTTTTGACCCCCCCCCCCCCCCCCCCACCCCATTTTTTTATACCCTCCACTTACAACTCTTGAATGAAGCTGCATGTGTGCTATCCTGTCAACGGAGACGAACGACAACTCCACTTTTTGTCCTTTAATATTTTTATTAAATATCTTCTGAAAAAAAAAATCCACATGTATGTTATGTGATCTTCTCGAAAACTACATGTCCAATTGACCTCAAAATCTGCAGTTAGCAGGGTATACATGTATTAAATCTTCATATAACAACGTTGTGCAGCCACCGCCCAAGAATTTTCGTAGAGAAAAGAAATTGCAATGCCGTAAAAATCGCTTGCTAGCTCCGTAAATGTCAATGAAATCCTACAATAAAGTGTCTGCTCCTAGATTAAAATACGAATCTGTGTTACAAACTGGTGCTGAAAAATGTACATTGTATGAAAATAATCGATAAACGTGTTTTAAATGTACACAGGATCAATTAAATCCAAAGCATGCACTGCTCGTGAACTTTGATCAAAACATCAATTACCTACAATGAGGAAAGAAATACATTGTGTGTATTCCATGCTATACATGTTGTCTGTCCAACGTGTCCACCTAAAAAGAAATAAAAATGCTAAGTTTTCGCTATTATAAAGCCTCGTCACGTGACGCCACAACCTACATGGCGCGAGACAAAGACGCGCGCGGGACCTGAAATAGAACAAAAATTTTCCAAACTAAATATAAAAACTTAACCATGCCAAGAAATTGCCTCCGTTGAAATTCTGCAAATATCCCATAGAGCAAATTACATGGATGATTAATATTGACCATTTGGTATATGGCTGTGTTCTAAGCGACACGTACATGAAGGTCATAAATTAATTTGTTGAATGAAATCAAATCTTTAACTACTAATGGGTGCCGTAGGAGGTCTACCGGAATTTTTAGCTTAGATTTCTTGGCATGGCAACATTTGGATAGTATTTTTAAAACAATCGCAGGAATATGCAGCATGTACCCCCCTCTTCCAAAGTATGAGACATAATTTCGATTGTGATCCAAAAATTGTGAAAAATAATCACAATTAAGGTTTTGTTGTTAGTTTTCATTTGTTTCACATTTTTCATGTCATTGTCTTTTACCACTGACTAAAGGGTATGGGGTTTTCTCATCATTGAAGTCCACACAGTTGCCTATTACTGCTAATTTAGTCACTTCATTTGAACTCTGATGGAAAGTTGTCTCATTTGCAATCTATTGGAGCTAAACAATACCACATCTCCTTATTTTTATAAAGTATAGCATAATTTATATATGAAAATTAAATCTTTTCTACATGTACATATTCAGGTAAAATTATTTGATAATGCATATATAGTAGCTGCATTCTTCTAAAAAATAAAGATTCAATTATTTGTACATGTACATCATGTACATTCTGTATGACAAATTATATTAAATTACTGTGAGTGCATTTTTTTGCAAACCCACTGCTGTAACTTTGATGCTACCTTTTTTGTTACATTTACAAATCTAAGATGATACCACCAGTCACAAATATCACAGCAAATACTATGATCAATAAAATTTTCAACATTTTCAGAGTTTTTCACAATGTGATTACATGATGGACAAAAATATGTTGTTTTAAACTCCATTTGGTCCTCTATAGGACTGCTGTTGTTCCTGGTACACACCTCCTGTAGATTTGAAGCAGTTTGCATTTTAATTTCACCAGAAAATAGTTCAGGAACAAAATATTTTTCAAAAAATAATTTTAAACTATCAACAATTTCCTCATAATAAGCTTAAGGTTTGTCAAAAACAATTCTCTGACAAAATGTTCCATTACATGTATATATAAAAAAGTCACAATATTTCCTTCCAGTTATTGCTAACTGGCCTTGAATTTGGCCATAGCATTTGTGTTTTTTTTAAACTGTACTTAGTTCCATCAACATACAAATAGTCTGGAACAGAACAACTGCAAAATGTTGTACATTTGCCACATTTTGGAACAAGAGGACATTTAATTTCAACAACACCTGAGCCACAACAAGCACAATCAATGAGGAAATCAGGGCTAGCCCCAAGATAAGTCCTGTCATTATCAAGAAATATTACACATTCTGTGATATTAACCTCTGTGTGGCTTGCTTTCTTCATACCCACAAGGTAACACGATTTGGCTTCTGGTTCCATTTCTAGCCCATGCTTAAGAGACCTTATGTTAGGATTTAATTTTTTGTATCCCATGAGTCGTGAAATTAATGGATCAAAAGTAACACCCTCTTTTTTTCTTATAACTCTGCACTTTTGTATGTATTTCATAGAAGTTTGATGATGTCAGACGACCCGATCTTATTTCATGCCATTTTTCATTGCTGGACTGACCAACCGTAGAACGCATAACTTTTGGAATTTCACTCTCAGTATACTTTGGCATGTTGCTTAAAAAGTAAGTTTGGTTGTTACATTTTGTTTTAATGTCTTGTATTGTGTAGGCTGTGATGTCTTCACTAACTGGTTTGGTTACTGTTTCTTCTACATTTTCTGTGACAAAACCTGAAAAAAATATTGTAAACAACATATTTAAGTGCATTGATTTTGACTTGGGGAATGCCCTTTTTTGTGTGGAGGGTTTTGAAATTTCCTCATGTTTAATAAGAATTTTAGGCTGTGTCTGGAACAAATTGTTTTCAAAGACATATCCTTTTGAGAGTTTTTGTAGAGATTGGAACCAATAATAACATAAAAAGCCCCAAACTAAACAAATCATAACATCTGAGATTAGAACTAAAGGTATATTCATCATTTTAGATTTTCAGGAAAAACAATTAAAAAAGTTTTAAAACTAGTTAATATATTGCGACTTGATTTTCAACTGTTCTTGTTAAAAAAAAAAATTTGTGGTCCAAGTTATTCATGTTATTCATCTAAAATGACTTATTCTTGTAAATTTAGATTAATCACGAGATCAAATTTTATCATGTTATTGTAAACTGCATTCATACAACAAATAAACAAACAAATAAAAAACTAGCAAAAAAGCTCTATGAGAAAATTAAAACAATAAAACAATTAAAACTTAAAACAATTGAGGTTCTTCAAGTTTATTTTATTATTATAACATTGTATTTATATGAACCTTTGAAAATACAAGCATTTGGGATAGACTTCTTGAGTACTGCTGAAAAAGTTTCCAGGTTGTCTCTACTTTCAGGATATGGGCTGGTACTGCAACTTAGACTGGAAAACTAAAGGTCTTTTACTATCTAAAATAAAACCGAAACGATTAATGAATTATCGCCCTTTGATCAATGGACATAAATTAATACTACTCTTGTGGTCATATTCTGTTGTTGTTTCACATACTGGAATAATGTATAAAAAGAATAGAGTGTATCAAAACACAAACTCATGACATATATTGTCCTACTTGTTGACGTTATCATTAATGTGATAGACTTATTAATTTACATGTTAATTTCTGTGTCATTTGGTCTCTTGTGGAGAGTTTTCTGATTGACAATCTTAGCACATCTTATTTTTATAATATATTTCATTATATGCTTTATTAGTTCGAGTTAGTTTCCATGGTAAAATCCATGACAAGGATTGGTACAGCATTATGGAATTAAAACATATATAGTGTGGCTAATATAATATCAAAAATTATAAATGGTATGTAATGACTTTTTGATACTAAATTCTATATAAAATCATCTAAAATGTACACAACCTTTGAAATAATTGATCAGATGTACATGAATAGTAGTTATAACAAAAACTGTAGCCACATTATATAGAATTTTTATCATGCTTGGTAATAAAAAACATACCTGACTTGATGATTCTCAAATCTTTAATTTTAGTTGGCTTCACTCCCTTTATTCTTGACGGTACTTTCAATGTGCAGGGGAGGGAAGTACATGCAGATGCACCTAGTTTGTTTGCTGTCTCAACTCGGAAAAGGAGTCCAGCAGCTACATCATTACATGTTCTTCCCAAACTGAAAAAAAACAACTAATAAATGATCTTGTTCAATACCCAGTAAATCTACAGCAAATGATGCAAGTCGATCAGCAAGAAAACTTATATTGACAAAACAGTTATTAGTTTTAAATTAATAAAGAACTGCAAGATAAAGGTGCAAACATAGAAATAAACATGTCATACAACAGTTAGTTTTATACCATGTAGGTTTTTACAGCCGTGACAATGGATATGATTTAGCAAGGAACATTTTACAAGAAAGATAAAAAATGATATACCATTTCATGAACATGTGAATTTGGGGTTTTCTAATTAAACATTTCCCATAACAAAGGTTGGGGACAATCTCCCAAATAGGATATAAATTTACTGTGCTTCAAATCTTGCTTTTCTTTAAAAAAAATAATTTAATAATCATTTTTTAAAACATTTTCCTTTACATCCTTTTTTGTTTTGGCACATTAATTTTTCATACATTTATATTTCAATTGAGATATTATATCTCGAATGAGATAGTTTAACCCATTTGGGAGATTGGTCCCAACCTTTTACAGCTTATTAATTGCTATTACATTAAAATGGAAGGCTTTACAGTACATTGCAAATCTATGAGGTTATGGATGGGGATCTTTCATTTCTGTATTCTTAATTTTACATTTGTCTTCATCTTTAAAAAAATATGGCTATTCTGTAATTACATTTATTACTTGATGACTGTATTTTGGACTTATATATTTAACATCCCATTATTCTGAGATTTTTCTGCTCTTTATTACTTTACACATTTTTCTCTATTCTTATTTTTTCTCCATTATTCTGTACTATGTTAAACCCATCCACACCCTCATCTATGCATATAATTCAAGGAGCTTTACTATAAATTTTATATTAAATAACATGAAGTCTTACCCTGCTGTGCATGTGCAGTATGAGGATACAGTTTCACAAAAAAATAAAAGAAGAACATGATGTCTGGGTGTGTGCTTTCTCAACAGATATGTAGACTGGTGGAATTTTTTTCATACCATTTTTCTCATATAATCAGTTATCATGAATCTGTAGTGGATCTGGTAAAGCTTGGCCGTTTATTTTTTGCAAGTTCTGATAGTCTAGTTTATTGTTTTTGATAATTTCAAAAGAAGATGGAATGACTGCAATTTTTAAAACAGACGCCGAATAGCAAAGAGTCGCCAATTCACTTTTTTTACCGTCCTTCGTCATACCTCTCTTTGTCAAGTAGTCGCGCAAAGCACTAACTTTCCAGGTTAAAAAATCATCTAAAGAAGTGTTTTGGTCAGTTGTATCCATTATAAAAGGTAATATCGTATCAAATGTTAAGTATGTAAAAATCTTGTAAAAATGTATCAAATTAAGTTCAGAACTTCACATCTTTCTTTCAACGTTATCACGGCTGCCATATTGTTTACAATGGATACAGAAGTTTTCCCCTATGACATTTGGACCCGCACCGCCATATCAGTGAAAATGACGTTAAGTGTTGATACAAGTATACGATTGTCATTGTTTTAGAAGTTTAAGTAAAATCTTTGACATTATCCTTGCTTATTTATATCGGATTAATTGCTTTAAATCACATTTATCTTGTCGTTGTATGCTTAGCATTCATCCTGAAGACTTGGTTGTTTTTAGGAAAGCACTGCATGTGTAAGTAAACACTTTAAGGCGAAGTGTACGTAATATAACTACTCCACAGAATTTTTTTATATTTTACATGTGGATTCTGCTTGTAAAATTACATCAGATTATAAAATAAAAAAGGAGGTAACCGTTTTCGTTTTTCAGATACAAGCTGTTAAAACTAACAGCATGATACGCCAGAAATACAAAGGATATATAGGGGAAATCATTAAAAAACGGCAGATATTTTTACTTTATCATGATTTTCTAATTCGTTGGTCAACAGCATTTTTTTTAAATTCGAAATGCGATTCAAAAATAAACGACGAATCCATTGGTTCAAAGAAAGTCCTTAGCGACCGTGCTAGTTTTCTAACTATATTCTCTTGAAGTTTGATTTTTAGCGGAAAATTATAAAATATTCGGCGACGTTATTGATGTCTGCTGTAACGTCACCACAAATTCTACTCTATTACGCTAGTATACCCATTGTACTGTACAGTATTGTCATACAAATCGTGAGTGTGTGTAACACATTTTCCTAAGTATTGGAAATGCTAAAAAAAAATAAAAGCGTAATCGGTTGACATGGTTGATAATGATACAAACTGAAAAATGTTTAAGGATATTTCTGCTGCAAAAATAATGCAAATTGGCAAATAAATATACTACAAGTGAAAGAAAGTTACTGTATAGACTTTAACTCCATCTTGATTAGACAGGGTTCCACATCTTTTTTTTTTAATATTTGTATTGTTCTAATAATTTTAGATAAAATATCGAGTTGTCCAGATTATTACAGAATGATTCTATACATATTTGAAAAATTCGGTTATTTTATTGGGATCGCTTCTTTTCATCCTCACCATTTCCGGCCCTATGCGAGGTATTGCGTACACAACCCATTCTATTTGTCAAGTTCACACACGTGCACGTGATTCTACAATTTTACTTGAAAATTTCCTGTCTCGATAGCTTTCCCTTTTCTTTAACTACACGACAAGGCATTATACATGGTATAATGTTTGCTGGAGATTCATTAACAAACGAAATAATTTCTTGTACC